AGAGAAAGACGTCGGAACTCATCCTTGGGTTGGCACCCTAGAGAGAAGTCAGAGAGAATTCTCTAGAGAGAGAAACACTCAAGCCAACCCACTTCTTATGCTGGTTCATGTTTCTGTGGGTGGAGTCCCTCCTACTTTTGTCCTTGACCTTTTTTATTAAGGCCCTGTTTGGTAAAATAGTTACCCAATCAACCAATTTTGGTATATTTGACCACTATTAGCTATTTGACTTGGTTAAACAATCAATATGATTGTTTGATTAATTTAGCTTTTTATAACAACTTTTTGCTCCAAAATGCTAAAATTCAAAAAGCTACTCAAAGTAGCTTTTTCAATAAGCTTTTTTAGAAAGTCATTTTACATGTAATTAGCTATCAGCTAATAGTTAATGTAATTTTGCATATTCTGATTATCTAGAACATTGACCTACTTTCTTAACAAACAGTTAGTGGGCAGATTGACACAACCAGTAAATTGGACAATCACACAGATAGACTAATAGATAAGACAAAGTGCAGAAAAGTAAAGCAGAAAGTAAATCAACACATAGGTTTGTTAACCCAGTTCGATACAGTGTGTATCTACGTTTGGGGGACGATCACCGATACGTCCAATCCACTAACTCAAAATCCAATGTACAAAGGTAGAGAAAAGATCTCACCAAAGTGCCCCACACTAGGTTAGTACCCAATCTACAGAGGTTTAGTGGATTGTTGAAGACGGAGAGCCATGCATCCAGAAGTCTATGAAATCCTTTCAATGGAGAGCTAACTCTAATGCAGTCCGCTTCAATGACGCAGTCTTATGCTGTTCCCACAACTGAGTGATCTTCACGTCCACTGTTTAAGCAGAATTGTTTTATCTCAAGTTCATCTTCGTAACGACCATGAACTTTAGGTCTTGAGAAGAGATGATAACTAGAGAGACTTCTTAGAACATGGAGATATTTCAGATTCAAGAGATGAATTGTATGTATGCGTAACCTTTCTTGAAACAACATCTCTCAATATATATCTCTGGTTGAAGGGTGTATGGCTTGTAATCAGAAAGTCAAACAGCTCCATAATGAGATTACGCCAATACCCTTTGAGGTGTCCAATTAAGTGAGAACTTTCTTGTAATTTCACCTCAGTCCATAACGGCATTTGCCAGCACATACGCTCTTCAAATAAATTTCTTCCAACGACTTTAATTTTTGAGAGATGCTTGTGACAAATCTCCTAATCAATAAGGTCTTCATACTTTAGGGACTGACTGACTCTAAGCTAAAGCCTATCTAATTTGCCATAATAATAATGCCAATTACATGTTGGGTTTTATAGACTAAGTGACTAATTAAAACACTAACAAATTCCCCTTTTGGCTATTATTTAGCAAAACAACTCAATAAAAATGAAAAACAAGATTTTAAGACATTTTAAACCAAAAGGCCAAAACACGCTAGCAGTAATTACTTAAATAGTCAAACAGAATGTCATCATTACAGACCAATAAAACAACATTAGCACACAAACCATGCTAGAATAGATCAGAACCAAAAACAAATCAAATTTTTAAACACTAACGCCCAGACAGGACCAGAAGGGACAGAACTTCAACTTCAGTATTCAATCAGCCACAACTTCTAGCAAACAATTATAACTCCCCATGACAACAATTCCCCCATACTACTTATCACTCCCCCTTTTTGCCAGATAAAAGACAAAGCAAGGTCTAATTATCAGAGGGGCCTTCATCACCAGCAATGTGAGTAGTGTCAGGTACAAACTCAGCTTCAGATAAACTCAAACGCAGTAGAATAGTAGCAAGCTTAGTGTGGCTGCATGAAGGTGAGTATTAATGATATTGCTAGCAGTCTGGAGTTCTTCTACACTAACCTTCAAGAGCTTTTACAGCCTCAGATCATTCACATAGGGAATGTTATCAGTAGAATCAGAAGAAATTCCTTTGGGAGGATCAACAAGTTGCACATCTCTAATATGTTTCCCACCAAGAAGCCGTGAATCAACTGTGTATGACAGAGTAGTGTGAACAACCTCATTAGGCATAGGGACAAGCCCTTGAGAAGTTAGGATTCCAAATATGAGGTTTGGGTATGGGAGTTTCACTTTTTGTTCTCTGGGATGAATCAGTGTAAGCATGTGATTAAAGATCCACTTTCCCAGGTCCACAACCTTCTTAGTGCCAATCCAGAAGATTAAACCTGCAGAGATTTATTAACATTGTAGAAATGAGCTAACGGCAACCAGTTGTACAAGGCAATCATGTGCAGTATCACGAACTTGGAGGTAAAGTCAGAACTTGACAAAGCATCTGAATCAGTTGAAGGCCACTCAGACAGAACACCACCAGTTAAAGTCTTTGCAACCAGATCCCGATCATCGATGTCATCTTCATCCACTTGGCCACACCATAATACTCATTAATAGCATCAGGACCAAAGACAAACCACTTCCCTCGAACACAAATCTGAAGGCACGTCTCATGAGTTAATAAGTCAGAGATTGACTCATTTAAATTGTAGTAGAATTCATAGGTCAGCAGCTTCGATTATGGTCCAAGATTCTGAACAGTGGAAATCAAGTCAGCTTCTTGAAGAAGATGGATCACATCACAAACAGAGTTTAGCTGCCTGACATCCACAGACCTTTGCACAATCATTTCTCTTTTAATCATAGAGGACCATTTCCCTTCAGCTTCCCCATCAACAAACTTCGGAGAATAAGCAGAAGATCCTGTGTTATCTGGTATCTCAGGGGTGCTACTTCTCTTCAACAGACCCTTAGCCTTCTTTGCTTTAGATGGAGGAGGTGGTGCAACAGGAGCTTTAGCTTTCACAGAGGATCTCAAGTTTTTAAAGACTTGGTAGATAGGTGGATCAGCTATTTCAGACACAGAGGTCTTTCTCTTCTTTTCAAAACAAGGGGCTTTGACTGGCTCAGATGTAAGATCAACCAGGAATTTCTCAGGAACACCTTTTCTTTTAGCCTTTCTAGTTTCTCTCTTGGGAGACTCGTCAACAGGAGTGGTGGAGACAGAATGACTAGTTCCAGAGGTAGTAGGATGAGAAGAAGTAAGTATGCTCTGAACATCTCTAATTTTGAAATTGGTTGACTCAGGATTAGCAATATCAGCAACAGACTAGTTGACTTCATGAACAACAGCCATGCCTGAATCACCCATCTTCTTGGTGAGTTCAGTGAGTAACAAATCATCATCATCAGCAGCAGCAGTAGGAGTAACAGACTTAGGAGTTAAGATTTTAGACGGAATAGGAATAAATTCAGTAAGCTGGTTTGCAAAGTATTCAGCAGCTTCTAGTCTTTCAAGAGCAGTTTTTGGTATATAAACAGGGATTGCAACATCAGATTCAGTGGGAACAGACACAGTAGGATCAATGGATTCTTTCGAAGCAGTGGGCTTGACAGAAACATCATAAACAATAGCATCAGGCACTTCAATATCAATAGAAACATCAATTTGTTTTGAAGCAACATTATCAACCGACATGGGAACAGACTTATCAAAGATTGACATAGGAACAGTTTTATTAGACTTATCAGATTTAGGCAAATCAGACTCAACTTTCTCAAATTCAGGCGAGTTAGGCTTAGGCACATCAGATTGTCCAGCAAGAATAACATGGGAAACCAACGAAACATTCGAAATAGGGGCAACAGATACAGACTCAACAACATTATTAGGCTTATCTGGAGAGATAGTAATAACAGAGGATGGGATAGATTTAGACCTAGTTTGAAGAACATCCTTCCGCTGTTGGACCTCGTCATGAACCAGTTTCTGGTAATGCTCCTAAGCAGATGATTGTTGACGGATAACTTCTTCCCATTCAAGAGCTTTCTTCCCATAGTATTTCAAAAACTCGCCTGCCCTGTTTCCATCTTCAGGTTCATCAATAGTTGTTGGAGTGATGTCACTGTCTGCCTCAGACGCCATTATCATTAGTGTATTTGTATCATCATCAGATAATCCTTCGAGAAACTCTGGAAAACTAGAGATTATTGTTAGAATAATCTCATCTCTAAGAACCGGGTCAAGCTTCAATATGTTCTTGATAACCAGTTGAAGAAGAGATCTGATCAGATTAAGAGCACCCTCAGGGGTGCGATTCTTGTTGTGTAGCTTGATCATTATATTTCTTACACCATCGGCTATGGTTTCTGAGGATTCTAGAGTGAGAAGGATGCTTCGAATGAAAACCCTAGAAGATGAGCGTTGGAAATTTTTGGAGGGTTTGGAAGGAATTTGAATGAGCTAAGCTTTTGAGTTTTTAGACTAAAAGGACTCGGGTAATGCTTAGAAAGAGAAGGAGGGTAATTAATGCGATTGATGTGATAGACATGCAAAAGTGATGTTATTGACACAACAGTACAACGATTTTTTTAGGGGTGAGACGGACTTATTCAAATATAAGATAGATTTGAAAAAATAGGTAAGGCGAATCCAAATTTGAATTTGATAGAACAAGCTAATTTGAAGAAAGAAAAATTGATTATAGTGGACACAAATAACAAAGGGTAGTCAAAAAGGTAATTTTTTAAACTAAGGGCCCACATCCTTCTTCTGATAAGGTAGACTGCCTTAGTTATCCATCCGGTAGACTCCTAGAGCAGATCTGAGAATCTCAAACCGATTTGCATCAAGTGGCTTAGTCAGTATATCTGCCAGTTGTTTGTCTGTCTGAACATATTCCAATTCAATTTCCTTAGCCTCAACAAGATCCCTAATGAAATGATGCCTTATATCAATATGTTTAGTCCGTGAATGTTGAACAGGATTCTTAGAGATATTTATGGCACTTATGTTGTCACAGTAAAGTGTGATGGATCCTTGTGATAGACCATAGTCTAGCAGCATTTGTTTCATCCAAATCAAGTGTGTACAGCAACCTCCAGCGGCTATATACTCTGCTTCAGCAGTACTCAAGGAGATAGAGTTCTGCTTCTTAACCAAGATACAAGGTTTTTGCCAACAAAAAATCATCCCCCAGAAGTACTTTTTCGATCATCAACATTTCCTGCCCAATCAGCGTCACAGAAAGTCACTAAACTCATGTCACTCTCTTTTGAATACCATAAACCATATTGAACAATCCCCTTGACATACTTCAAAATCATTTTGGCAGCTATCAAATGAGATTCTTTGGGTGCTGATTGATATCTAGCACACATTCCAACACTATACATAATGTCTGGCCGACTAGCTGTTAAGTAGAGAAGGCTTCCAATCAGACTTCTGTAAACAATAGAATCCACTGGTTGACCTGCATCATCTTTTGATAACTTTGTTGAAGTAGAGATAGGTTTTCTAGGAGATTTGCACGATTCCAGCTCAAACTTCTTAATCAGATTCTTGGCATATTTTTCTTGAGAGATAAAGTATCCTTCAGCGCTTTGTTTCACTTGTTGACCCAGAAAATAAGTCAATTGACCAACTATAGACATTTCAAACTCTCTCTTCATAACATCTACCAAATCTCCAGTATACTTCTGTAGAGTAGATCCGAATACAATATCATCCACATAGATTTGAGCTATAGTAACATACTTTCCAGTAGACTTGACAAATAAAGTCTTGTCTACACTACTCCGATCGTAACCATGTTGAAGAAGATACTAAGTCAGACATTCATACCAAGCTCTTGGAGCTTGCTTAAGGCCATAGAGAGTTTTCCTTAGCTTGTAGACATGTACTGGGTACTCAAAGTCCTCTAAACCTTTAGGCTGAGCCATGTAGATATCTTCATGCAGATAGCCATTTAGAAACGCTGTCTTTACGTCCATTTGGAACAGTGTGAAACCTAGAATGATGCAATAGCCAAAAGAGTTCTGATTGATTCCAACATAGCAACAGGAGCAAAAGTTTCATCATAATCAACTCCTTCTATCTCAGTGTATCCTTGAGCTACTAGCCTGGCTTTGTTTCGAGCAACGTTCCTGCTTCATCAGTCTTATTTTTGAAGATCCATTTTGTTCCAATGATGTTCACACCATCTGGCTTAGGAACGAGATCTCACACATGATTCCTCTCAAACTGATATAGCTCTTCTTGCATAGCCTTAACCCAGAGACCATCTTGTAATGCTTACTTAACATTCTTGGGCTCTATCTTCGAGGTATAGCAAGAATATCCAGTCAATTCAATTAGATTATTCCTTACTTTGCTTCTAGTGCGAATACAAAACATTGGATCACCAATGATATTGTCATATGGATGATTTTTATGAGTTCTGGTTGAGTTGTTCCTTCCATCACGATCAGATAGAGATTGACTCATCCCATTACTATCATCATCTTCATCTGGTGGATCATCTGAGATAGGCGATTGATTAGCATCTTCTGATTCATCTGATGGCTTGAGTAGAGTATCAGATAGTGTTTCTGATGTAAAATCAGTCACTATTATAGCATCAGGTTCGTCTGGCTCATCATCTACAACAACGTTCATTGACTCCATGATTGTTTGAGTCCTCCTGTTATAAACCCTATAAGCTCGACTGTTTGGTGAGTATCCAAGGAATACTCCCTCGTCGCTCTTGGGCTCAAACGTTTCTCTTTGTTCACGACCAATCAAGATAAAACATTTAGTACCAAAGATATGAAAATATTTCAAGTTAGGCTTTCTACCTTTCCATATTTCGTATGGAGTCTTAGATGTACCGGTCTGAGGTAGATGCGATTTGCTGTATGACATGCGGTATGAACTGCCTCAGCCTAGAAGCGTTGTGGTAGATGTGATGCATTTAGCATAACCCTAGCCATTTCTTGTAGAGTTTGATTCTTCCTTTCCACTATGCCATTTTGTTGAGCAGTGCGAGGGGCAGAGAACTCATGGGCAATTCCATTTTCTGAGCAGAAATCTGAGTAAGATGAGTTTTCAAATTCCTTCCCATGGTCACTTCTAAGTCGTAGGATTTTAACAATTAGTTCATCTTTCTCCTTTTGAAGTCTTACACACAGTGTTTTGAATGCTTTGAATGCCTCAGATTTCTCCCATAAAAAGAATACCCAACAGAATCATGAGAAATCATCAACACAAACAAATATGTATTTCTTACCACCAATGTTCTCTGTTTGAGTTGGTCCCATCAGATCTATGTGAACCAGTTCCAAACATCTTTTAGTGGTGATCATCTTTACAGCTTTATGAGGAGCCCTGGTTTGCTTTCCTATAGCACAAACACCACACACTCCATCATAATCCACCTTTAGCTTTGGTATGCCTCGAACAACATCAAGTTTGATCAGTTTGTCCATGTCTCTATAGTTCATGTGACCCAGTCGTTGGTGCCACAGCTTTGACTCTTCAGACTTAGACCTAAAACAAGTAGTATCATTAGTTAAAATATAACAATTATCAGAAGAACGTGTACCTTCCATTACTACTTGATATGTCTTATCACGAACATCACAGCAGTCTCTATTGAAGTAGACATTCCAATTCTGATCACACAGCTGACTGATGCTTATGAGATTAGCACGTAGACCATTCACCAAGAAAACATCATCCAGATGAGGCAAGCCTAGAACATTAAGAGTGCATTTACCAATTATCTTGCTTCTTTGACCATCTCCAAAAGTCACTGAACCGCTGCTAGGTTGAACAGAAGTTAGATACTTAGAGTCCCAGTCATATGTCTCGAACAGCCACTATCAAAGTACCATCTGGTTTCAGTCATTACAGCATAAAACACAATCGTTGGATAACACACAATCTCTGACTTTCTGACCCAAACTTACTTCTTGAAAGGAGTAATGTATTTATTGTTCTACTTCTCCCATCTTTGATCCCTCTAGAAAAAATAACATTCCGGTCTAGTATGCCCTCTTGTATGACAGTAATGACAGGTGGGTACATACTTTCTAATTCTGACATACTTCCATTTCATCCTGGAATGAAGAGATTGAGACCTAGTAAGCACAGGTTCAGGCTCATATGTAGCGGTTGAAGTGCTTCCTTTGACAAACACGGGAGCTGACTTAGATGATTGGCCCCTTTCGAATCCAAAACCCGTTCTACTGTTTGACTTTTGACCAGAATCTAATATTTTGTCCAAAGTAGAAGTGGTATCCATCATCCTGATGTTCTTCTTTAGGTCTTCCAATTCCTTTATCAGCTTTCCTTCTCAAGATCTGATCTGAGCAATAAGATCATTTTTCATCACTATATCATCATTCAATTTCTTCAGTTGCTCATCACGCTATCTCAGATCTTCATTCAAATTTTTGTTGACTTTCACCAGTTGTTCCCAACTTGTAACCAGTTTCGCAAACTCCATCTCAAGTTGTGTATGTCTCTCTTCAAAATCATCAGAGGACATGTATGCATCATCATCGTCCTCACAATCTGAGTGAATTTCTGTTGTTGTGAAGAATGCAACAAAGTTCCCAATGTTTTCATCAGACATGTGATTTGTGATTTCCTCTTCATCATCACTTAGGGTTGATACTGACATGGATTTCTTTTTCTTCAGGTAGGTCGCACATTCAGACTGTATATGCCTAAATCCTTCACATTCACGGCATTGAACTAATTGATTCGGGGTTTTGCCTGAGTTATTCGAAGTATTTTTGGATTGACCTGATCGATTAGATTGACCTGACTTTGTAGAAGTAGAAGTCAATCCGGATTTCTGATTTGTGGAATTTTCACCTTTGGATTGATTCCTATTTGACTGTCCTTGGCCTCTGCGGTTGAAACTTTTTAAGATCTTCTTGAAATTCTTTATTAGCAACGCTAGGGATTCATCGTCAAGATCTTCAGTGTCCGAATCCTGATCGGCATTAGTAATGAACGCTACAGACTTTCCTTTTTTGCCCGAACTAGGATTATCATTAGCCAAGACTTCAAGTTCATAAGTGCGTAGACTACCCATTAATTCACCAACACCCTTCTTTTCCTAACCATCATTCCCTTGGTCGCACTAACTTTCATACGAAACCTTTTGGGTAAAGTGCGAAGGATTTTCTTGACAACTCTATCTTCTGAAAATGGTTCTCCAAGAACAGACGCCCAGTTCATCAGATCCTGAACTCTACTATGAAAGTTCAATATATTTTCATCTTCATTCATCCTTAGCGCCTCAAACTCAGACAGTACCATCTGAAGCTTAAACTGTTTTACGTCACTGGTACCTTCATATTTGGTTTCAAGGATTTTCCATGCGCGCTTAGCCTCTTTCACTCCAGTAACTTGGGTGAACACAGATTCATGTAGTGACCCTACAATAGAATTCAACGCCTTATTGTTGAGATCTGATGTAGTAATCTCATCCTTAGTCCAAGTTGTCATGGGTTTAGCCGATGTCGTTCCATCCGCATTCTGGATTGTTGGATGAGTCCAACCAATGAGAACAGTACGATAGACCCTCGTTCCTTGGGCTTCGAGATAGATATCCATTCGTGCTTTCCAAAATGAGTAATTGTGACCATCCAATTCCTGAGGTTTCACGTTGGCATCCATCCTGTTACAATCAGACAACCAACCCGAAAACACAGACAGAGAGAAAAACAGACCACAAACAGATAACCTAACAAGCAGATTATCAAGAATATTGCAAAAAGATTTCCTTTATGGATCAAATCACTATGTAGACTTAAAGGCTCTGACACCACATGTAATTTTGCATATTCTGATTATCTAGAACGTTGACCTACTTTCTTAACAAACAGTTAGTGAGCAGATTGACACAACCAGTAAATCGGACAATCACACAAATAGACTAACAGATAAGACAAAGTGTGGAAAAGTAAAACAGAAAGTAAATTAACACACAGGTTTGTTTACCCAGTTCGATACAGTGTATATACGTTTGGGGGACGATCACCGATGCGTCCAATCCACTAACTCAAAATCCAATATACAAAGGTAGAGAAACGATATCACCCAAGTGCCCCACACTAGGTCAATACCCAATCTACAGAGGTTTAGTGGATTGTTGAAGACGGAGAGCTATGCATCCAGAAGTCCATGAAATCCCTTCAATGGAGAGCTAACTCTGATGTAGTCCGCTTCAATGACGCAGTCCTACGCTGTTCCCACAACTAAGTGATCTCTACATCCACTATTTAAGCACAGTTGTTTCTTCTCAAGTTCATCTTCGTAACCACCATGAACTTTAGGTCTTGAGAAGAGATGATAACCAGAGAGACTTCTTAGAACATGGAGGGAGCTATTTTAGATTCAAGAGATGAATTGTATGTATGCATAACCTTTCTTGAAACAACATCTCTCAATATATATCTCTAGTTGAAGGGTGTAGGGCACGTAATCAGAAAGACAAAAGCTCCTTAATGAGATTACACCCATACCCTTTGAGGTGTCTAATTAAGTGAGGACTTTCTTGTAATTTCACCTTAAGCCATAACGGCATCTGCCAGCACATACGATCTTCAAATAAATGTCTTCCAACGGCTTTAATTCTTCAGAGACGCTTCTGACGAATCTCCTGATCAATCAGGTCTTCATACTTCAGGGACTGACATACTCTAAACTAAAGCCTATCTAATTTGCCATAATAATAATAATACCAATTACATATTGGGGTTTTATAGACTAATTGACTAATTTTTTTTTTTTTTTTTGAAAATGACTAATTGACTAATTAAAACACTAACAATTAATTTATCAAACATTTTTCTACAAACAGTTAATACTATTAACTAGTCAAACTTACTAACCTAATCAACTAACAGCTATTTACCAAACACCTTTAAATGATATCGTTTTGTTGTTAGCTTACCGAGACAAAAAGTAGACCATTAATATGCCAACAACTCATATAATTGGGATACAATTTTTTTATTCTCAATTAATATGCGAAAAATAACAACAAATATAATTGAGGTACAATTTTTTTTTCTCTGTATAATTTATAGATAAAGTGTGTCATTTTTCAATTTTTTAAAAAAAAATATTTATTTGTTTTTTGCCACAACGCGATTTCCTTCGTTCCAGGCCCCATGTTTCTTCCCGTTTCCCTGCAACGATGATTCTGCGATTAGAGGTAGGTCTACAATTCTAAAGAAGGAAACACATCTATTCTAATCTTTCTTTCGAAGAACTGATTTTAGCGCAAATTTTAGTAAAGACGGAAGGAGAAAACGATGAAGAAGATAAAGAAAAACTGTAAGCATGTTACTTCAGTCGGTTGACACCAATTTGAGCGCTTAATATGGAACCGCGGAATTAGATGCCCTACCCATCGACCTCCCATCAGTAAGTTGTCTCTTGATTTTCTTTCGGCTCCAAAGATGTATTGAAACTGGGGAAAGAAGATAAGAATAGTTTCTTTAAAGCTCTGAAATCAGCAGGAAATGTTTTTTTATTTTTTAACTTTGTTTCTCATTTGTAAAATTCTTTCTCCTTCAGTTGGGTACCAGCTCATACTGTTTTCTTTTTCTTTAAATTTAGGATTTTTTAGGAAGAAAAATTTTAAAGGTCTGTTTTGAATGCCAGTTTCAGCTTTAATTTTCATCCTTTAAGCTCTATTCCTGTTTCCCCTAAGTAGTTAGTGACAAATTTTGAACTTAAGGTTCTGGGTCAGTTTTCTTTAGTTGATTTTGAAGTTGTAAAGATGTCATTTTTATGCATGTAAGTTGTGTTAGACCCAAGATGATGTGTCAATGACCTTGTGGTCTAGTGACATGAAATGGCTCTCCCAAATACATAGTCATTTAAAGTAGTTATGAACAGATACTACATTATAACAATTAAGTCAGTAGTAGTACTAAAAAAAAAAAAAGAAAAAAAAAATATGCTTGACAAATATGTTTGTATTGCTAATTTGCAAAGTTTCCATTTCTTCACCTCTTTGCCTTTTGTTGGTTATGGTTTTGTGAAGTTCCCTTTTCTCAAATCTATCTCTAGATGAATTTTTCACTCTCCTATTTTGTTATTGTTGTTCCTTTTCTGATTGTTTCTTTGATAAGATAAGAAACAATTATCAGGATTTACATTGTTCTAGTTGGCCTTATCAGGATGGTAGGTCCCTTGGTGGATATTTTCCAATTTCCATACTGGTGTCACAACCATATCTCTAAGGCTGATACTTTAGTAAAATATGTGAACATTACTGGCTTTTATGTAGCTATCCTTAAACACCAAAACTACAAGCAACTTGACAATTATATTGAATGCAACAACCACAGGAGCCAGGAGTATAGTAGTGTCTGTATTGGAGACTTACATGTAGTTCTCTGACTTCTAAATTAGGTTTATAAAGGGGGTGTTGCAAGAGGAAGTATTGGTAACCAAAAAAAATTAAAGATTAATGGCGACTGCTGCTAAGAGGTATGCATATCCTAATTCAATTTCTTCCATTTTTAGGTGATTTTCTTGCTTCTGTTTTTTTTTGGGTGACGAGGGAAACCCATTGTCATTATCCGAGGATGTGCATTAGATAACCTCGCCTAGCTTGTAACCCCAGCCAATAAAGGACTACACGGAAATAAACCAGAAGTTTCTCAAAGTTCGTTAACATGTTCAAATTAAACCTAGAAGGTTGCTCCCATCGGGAGTACAGTTGAACTTGTAACACTGTGGTTACCAAGTCAACAGCCTAACTAACTTGGCTGGGGTTATCCAGATTTTCCACCATCTGTTTTCAAATTGTCACTGTTGCAAAAATCGCGCCTAGGCGCCGATTAATCGGTACCTAGGCACTATAGGCCGTCGGCCTCCTAGGCGCCTTAGGCGGTCCCAGGCGTCTAGCGATTTTTTCAACATTGCATATTGTACTGTAAACAGGTCTTCATATTTCATAGCTTGTTGGTTCATAGGTTGAAAGGAAAAGTAGCCATAATTACTGGTGGTGTTGGTGGCATCGGATCTAGGATCGCACACCTATTCTCTCAACATGGTGCCAAAGTCCTAATAGCCGACATCCAAGATGATCAAACCCAATCTATCTGCAAAGATTTGGGTCCTGGCAACGCTTCCTTTGTTCACTGTGATGTCACAAGCGAACCCGATGTCCAAAACGCAGTGAACAAAGCAGTCTCTACCCATGGAAGGCTTGACATAATGATCAACAACGCAGGCATCATGGGAGCCAACGTATCCCACATTCTTGACAGCGACATAACCGATTTCATCAACGTCTTTCGTGTTAATGTCACCGGTGCGTTTCTGGGAACGAAACACGCCGCTCGTGTGATGAAACCCGTGCGAAAGGGGAGCATAATAAACATGGCTAGTACCTCTGGTGTTGTTGCCGGGTCAACTCCACATGCTTATACGTGCTCAAAGCACGCCATCGTTGGCCTGACTAAGAACACGGCCATCGACTTGGGGCGGTTTGGTATCCGAGTGAACTGTGTTTCCCCTTATGCAGTTCCTACACGGATGGCAAGGGCCTTTCTGGGTTTGGCAGAGGATGACAAATTTGATGTGCATTCAAACCTTAAAGATGTTGATTTGATGGCAGAGGATGTTGCAGAGGCTGTTCTTTATCTCGCAAGTGATGAGTCCAAGTATGTTAATGGCCACAATCTTGTTGTGGATGGTGGCTTCACCATTTCTAATTTAGCTTTAAATCTTTACGACCAAAATAAACTGTAATACATATGTATTCAGAGAGCGTTTAGTATTATTTTGTGTGTTCAATGTATAATTACATGTATGTTTTAAGGCAATGAAGTAAAGGGAAAATTTGCGGTGTCTATTCTTTAGCAAATCATGGTGTCAACAAATGGAAGTTTTTTCACTTTTTCATATATTCAAGGCCAAAAGTTGAGCTTTTTTTCTTTTTAATTTATTTTAAATTCTTAATTAATTAATGAAGACTGAGGCGGTGTGAGATTTGAATCTCACTGAAAACATGTATGTGAAAAAGGTCCAAGGATGCTGGAAGGTCTGAATTGAATCCCTTGTGCGCACATAAAAACTAAGATCTGACCTTAGGTTGATTGCCAACTCGCGATTTACCACTGCAGTAGCTCTAGGAACGAGGTTCTGTGAACTTAGGATTAGTCCAGTGAAATTGAGATCACCTAAGTGTAAAAAAATAAAAAAATAAAAAATTGTATCAATACTTCTAAATAAGAACACATTTCTTTAAACAAATACACGAAATTTTTAGTGACATAATCTTATAATTTTAACTTGTTTATGTTGTAAATGGATAGGAAATCTAGTAATCTAAGTTGTATGGTTAGACTATTGTGACTTGTGAGTATTCAAGAAGGTATGAATTCTTTAGGTAAATTATGGGTTGAGGCTTTTTTATTTTTAATTTTTGAAAAAAGTGTCAAATAGGTCACTGAACTTTTAAACATTGTGTAACTGAATCATCGAACAAAAAAAGTGTTCAATTGGGCCATTAAAAACTCAAAAATTGTGCAAATATCATTTTTTACAAGTTACTTCCAAGTTTTCCATTAAATATGATGTCATAAAGTCAAATTATATATATATAAATTGTTTTAATTATTGTTTTTAAAAATTAAAAGAAAAAACATTGTTTTACCTTATTCTACTATGGATGAAGGGGCTCGACCGGAACCGAAACAGAAAGCGAGGATGACGGAGGTGGAGAAGACGATGATGATTTCATCGTTGAGTTGGCTCGACAGATGGCAGATTACATGCTTCAGGATAAGGATGAAAGCTTTGAAGATACAATGGAGTTGAAGTTCCACCAGAATATTCCCCCAAATTCATGCAGGTACGATTAACCATCTCGTTCATTAGTCTCTGTTGGAAATAAATTAAAATCATTCATAAAGTAGATTGTCTGTCTAGTATATTATTATTTCTCTTTCCCTCCTAAAATTTTGGACCAGTCGAAAAAACCACACGATAATCTTCCATTCTCCTTCTTTCATAGTCTTTATAGTCTGAGCACAACATCAAAATCTGTGTTTCTTGTAGAAAGCTTGTCGGCTCGTCACCAGAAATATTAAGTTTTTAAGGTAGTGTTTATTGAACACGCCACATATCATTTTTTCTCATCCTTTCTAATTCCAGTTCGTACAAACCTACAAACCAGCTTGCATTTTTTCAGCAACATACATAATGTTATGTTCTTGTTGTTACGTGCCTAGTGGAGCAGAAGCAAATTTTTACAACAGATAAAAGCGTAATATTCAAATTTCCGTTTTCTATTTCATACACGATGTCAACATCTGCTGCCAAGAATGTTGTCGACCTCAACGCGGTTGAACCTCTAACTAGTGATCTCAACTACTGTAGGTGGTCTGCAAAAGTGTTTATGCTTCTTGAGGCGCAAGACCTAGACTACGTCATCTTTGGAGATCCAGCTAAATTCCAGGTAATTTCTTATCTGACTACAGCGCAACCTACACAGCCAGAAACACTACCATTATTTTAGACGTCATGCCTGACCCAAAAACACCTACAACGAGAGTCACAACTATAACCCAGGAAGCTCACACCAAATATGAAAGAGATAACAAGAATGCACGAGCAGCAATTCTACAGCGAATGACCAACGCCCTATTCAACATATTTTCAAAGCATAAGTCTGCCAAAACCATTTGGGACTTACTGCAACAAAAATATGGAACTGATGACGCTGGAAGGAGGAAATATGCGATTGGTTGTTGACTGAATTTCAAAATGACCGACTCCATATCAATAGTTGAACATATGCACGAGTATGAAAATTTAGTTGCTGACATGCTAGTTGAAGGAACCTAGGTGAACGATACTTTCCTTTCTGATGCCTAAATATAGAAACTTCCTGAGTCCTGGTTAGACTTCAAAAATAAAATGAAGCATGAGAGGAGATATTACACACTACAGCAGTTGGTAAACAGTCTGAACATAAAAGAGGAGAATCATCTAATGTGCGGGTTTGCCATTCTTCTTGGTAATGTAAAGGCTAATGCAGTAGAAACAAGTGTTCATTTTTTTTTTTTTTTGAAAACACAAGTGTTCATTTTGACAAGGCAAAAACTGGTGGCTAAAATAAAAACAATAAAAGAAATGCCAAAAACAACAACAATCGCTTTAAGAATGACAAAATCTAAAAGAAAGGGAAAAGCGATGGATGCTTTGTTTGCGGTAAACAAGGTCACCGTGCAGCCCCATGCTATCACCGCAAAGGGGATGCCAATCAAAACCCAAGTAATGAAGGGCCCAAGAATCAAGCCAATCTGCCGGAAAACACTGAGAACGCTAAGGTGATTGCAGCCGTAATAACTAAGGCCAACATGGTGGGAGATCTAGAAGAATGGGTAGTGGACACAGGAGCATCTTGCCACTTCTGCAATGACAAATTTATGTTCAAACTGTTCTGGCCTATCACTGAAGGAGAAAAAGTGGTCATGGGGAATTCCAATGTGTCCGAGGTAAGTGGTAGAGGGAAAATAGAACTTCATGTTATATTCTGGGAAAAAATTATTGTTGCAAAATGTGTTGTATGGGCCTTCCCTCCATAGAAACTTGATCTCTAGAGCCTCGCTGAACAAGGCTGGAATTAAGTTAGTGTTTGAGTCTGATCGTCTGGTTATGACTCGCTGTGAGAATTTCTTGGGAATGGATATCTGCTTGGAAGACTATATGTGTTAGATGTTACTGTAATTAGAAATCCCCCTGCCACTGAGGGTCCTCCTCTGACCATTTATAATTTTATCCCAAATTGACATGGCCCAAAAAATAATAATAATAATGATGTTTCTTCTGTTTATACCGATGTCTCAGTTAATGTTTGGCTTGGTAGACTAGGACATGTTGGTTTAAATTGTTTAAATAGACTGAAGAATTGAGTTTATTGCCGAACATGTCAAGTGAATCATATTCTCAATGTACGTGAAACATGTGCTGAAGCTAAATTTGCTAGAAAATCTCCTATGTAAATCATCATACCTCAACTGTGCTAGAGTTTATTCATACTGATTTAGCTGATTTCAAAAGCACTGAAAGTAGAGGTGGAAAACGCTATTACATTTCGTTTATTGATGATTTCTCTTGTTTTACAAAAATTTATCTTTTGAGAACAAAAGACGAAGCTGAACAAAAAAATTTGATTTTCAAATCAGAAGTAGAAAATCAGTTAGATAAAAAGATTAAAAGGCTTCATTCTGATAGAGGAGGAGAATATGAAACAAATTTTCTCAAAAGTTTGTGTGAATCTTCTGGCATTCTTCATGAGGTAACTGCCCCTTATACTCCCCAACAAAATGGCATACCTGAAAGGAAAAATCGCACACTCAAGGAAATGATTATTGCTATGTTAATTAGTTCAGGTGCTCCAGATTTCTTATGGGGAGAAGTTGTCCTAACAACAAACTACATACTGAACATAGTACCCCATAAAGGGTTTGAAAAACCCCCCCGTATGAGTTGTGGAAAGGGCATGCACCTAACCTCAAATATTTTAAAAGTGTGGGGGTTTTTGGAAAAGGTAGGACTCCAATCCTTCAAAAGGCCCAACATAGGGCCTAAAACCTTAGATGTCATATTTGTCGGCTATGCTGAAAACAATGCTGCTTATAGATTTATGTACTTAGAAAATCGTTCAATATGTGAATTTAGAGATGTTGTCTTCTTTGAACACATCATCCCTTTAAAGAATACTCACAATTTATATGGTGATAGTATTCAAAGAAATGAACGTGCACTACTTCCTATGCCTAGTATTGCAAATAATTATGACAAACCTAGAAGGAGTAAAAGACCTAGAACAGAGAAAAGTTTTGGTTCTGATTTCATAACCTTTTTTACTAAGTTGGAAGACGTAAATGAATATAATTATTATATGTTCAATTTATCTGTTAGTTAGTGATAGAAGAAGAATCAAATACTTTTGAAGATGATATGCGCTCAGTTGATTCCACATTATGGAAGGAAGCAATCAAGAGTGAACTGGACTCCATACAGTCCAATCATACTTGCGAATTGGTAAACATACCTAAAGGGTGTAAACCAATTGGTTGCAAATTAATTTTCAAAAGAAAATTAAGACCTGATAGGTATATTGAAAGGTTCAAAGCCAGGCTTGTAGCTAAATGCTACACACAGACATTTGGTGAAGACTATTTTTATACGTATTCACCAGTAACCAAATTTGCAACTGTACGTGTTTTGTTTGCATTAGCATCTTCACACAAGTTGATAGTCCACCAAATGGTGCAACCTCCTGGTGTGTTGAGCCTAGACAGGAAGATAAGGTATGTAAACTCAAGAAGTCTCTATATGGGTTGAAACAAGCCCCTAAGCAGTGGTATGAAAATTTTCATAACACCATCTTAGACATTGGTTATACTGCTAACAGGTCAGATGCTTGTTTATATACTAAAGAGATTGGGTCTATAATTGTGATCATATGTCTCTATGTAGATGATATGCTCATTTTCAGTTCAGACATTAATGCTATCAATGAGGCAAAAAGAACACTATCTGTTAAATTTGATATGAAAGATATGGTGAAGCCGATGTTACACTTGGGTGAAAGCCACGAAAACTAACAATGGTTACCATTTGTCACAAAGTCATTATACAAAAAAATTGTTAAAGAAATTTAACCACTATGATGTAACCTTAGCTAAAACTCCATATGATTCAAGTGTCAAACTATTTAAAAGTTTGCAAATAAGCATATCTCAAGAGGAGTGTGCAAAAATAATTGGAAGTCTAATGTTTCTAATGAAATACACTAGACATGATATTGCTTTTGCAGTGAATAAACTCAATCGCTATACACATAACTCA